GTTGCCATGCTCTCCTCCAAAGGATCATTGAAATTGCTCTTTTCCTCTCTTCCTAACTCCAGGGTGCCAGACTTCCTGTCTCTTCTTTATCTCTTACTTTACAGGAGTACATCCTCCAGTAGTTTCCCAAGAAAGTGCAAACAAGGTGAATTTCTTGAGACTTTGCTATTTGAAAGCAACTTTTCCCGCTCTTAAAATGCCTTTTTGTACTCTCAATTTGAATGCATTTATAGTGTGGCTGGGTATAGAATTCTAAGTTAGTGGTTCCTTTCCCTCTGAATTTTGAAGGTGTTGCTTCATCATATTAATATTTTAGAGCATCCCAATGTTCTCTTGAGAAGACTGACTATAGATTCTAATTTCTGATTCTGTGTATGTGGCTAGTTTGCTTTCTTTAGAAGTTTTCAGGATTTTTATCTTTGGACTTGGTGTTTGGAAATTTCATGATGATGTGCTATGGTGTGGGAGTCTTTTACTCATTGTGCTGAGCACTCACTGGGCCCTTTCAGCTTGGAAACTCTTGTCTTTCAGAAATATTCCACTCTGACAATGACTCCCTCTTTGTTCTCTGTGCTTTCTGGAACTCCTGTTAATTTGGATGTTGAATTTCCTGCAGTGCCTTCAGTTTTGATACTTTTTTCTCTCTGATGTCATCCCTTTGTCCTTTTGTTCCCTCTTTTCGGAAATTACTTCAATGTTTTCTTCTAATCTCTCTACTGAGCTTTTTTGCTTTTCTGTTTTCAAAGATGCTCCTTGGCTGCTGAATATTCTTTCTGGAAATGTCCTTTTCTTTTTTCGTGTATATTGTTTCTCCAGTCCTGCCCATCTGGATGTCCCCCCTTGCCTTCTCTCTGTCTGAAATGTTCTTCCCGCAGATACCTGCACAGCTTACTGCCTTAGCTCCATCAGAGTTTGGCTTCCATGGTCATTTATTCGAAACTACAACCCAGCTCCCGCCACCTTGACCCCAGTGTNTTCTAAATAAAATAGAGCTGTAACCCTGGTTTGTCTAAGAGCTATAATGCGGTGTGTCCAAGACCTGAGAGCTGTGACGTGCTGAGGCCTTTCGTGTCCGTCGCTCCGAATCTTTGCTGTGAGGAGACAGGACCGAGGAGCGAAAGGCACATCTTTCTGTCTAGTTTCGTTCGGTATTTCTGGTACCTGCCACAGTCCTGTGCCGAGTAGGCACTTGGTAAATATTTGTTGACTGAGTGACTGGACCCCCTGTTTAACAGTGTAGAAACCTCACCTCTGCCCTCTGAGTGCAAAGCCTTTCTTTTTTTAAGTTCTGTAGAGTGAGCCTCTCGTCTTCTGGCTGCCAGCGTTTGATGAGAGTGTATGTGTGATTTAAACATTCCTTGCCCTTATTTCCAACAGGTCCCTGTCTTCAGCCCTCAGAAGTTTCTGGAAGTTCCAATTCCTAAGGCCCTCTGGGCTTCTCCAACAATCAGAGTGTTTTTCGTAGGTCCCCACCAGAATAGCAATTCAAGTTTAGACTTTCTCTGCTCTAAGTCAGTTACTTTGTACATCTGTTTTCCATCTTCTAAAATTCTGTTGATATATCTCATCTGCTGGCCTGTCCCCTCCCTATTTCTTTCTTTTTGTGGGTTTGTACCTTTTTTTTTTCCTTTAATTTTCCTTCTGTCATTTACTGTGGTTTTTGGAGTGAGCAGAAATTAACTCATGTTCAACCCACTAGATTTAGGGCTTTCAATTGATAAAAATAAATTTCCAAGATTATTGTGGTACTCACAGTTGGTAAGAACTGCAGCCATCATAAAATTGTCCTTTTTTTTCATGCCAGAAGCTGAGTTGAACTTCAGTTATATATATATATAGAAAAACAGAAAAGTCAGGTGATTGAGTCAACCTCTAGGGTGGGTGGGAGTGGGTGACTGATATGTCATTAAATAAGAAAGTGCTTCTTGGGAAGAGCTCAGAAAATGTATTATATTTTTTTCTTGTGATATTTCAAGGATTAATTCAGTACACACACTTAATCTTATATATTTGAACTAGATTTAAAAATACACAGTAGAAACCAATTTGATGTATATGTATCAGAAATGGCAACCTTATTGTGGAATTTATTGAATATCTTAGTTTGTCTGTCTTTAGACTGACACATGATTGGCATACATAAATTTGAATATTCTTTGACTATTTGACTATTCTTTGGTTATTAGAGGAAACTTTGAACTCATGTGGGTTCTGTTAAATGCTTTAAGGGTGAAAAATTTCATTACTAGAGCATCAATAGAGAATGGGACTTATTCTAAAGGAAAGACACACACATTAGGGGTTTTTGTGCATGAGTTTTGGGAAAAGTGAACCAAAAATGGAGGATCTGAATAAGATAGTGGCTGAAAGGTCTGAGAAGCTCTAGGATGATCCCTGGGCTCCTGAGTACATGTGATTACTGTTAACTAATCTGTTCACTAAGTTGCTGAGTGGGTTTTAGCAGTTAATTCAAATACTTTATACATTAATGTAGAGGATGTTATAGGCAAATAGATCAGGGCAGTATCTCCCCAAAATGTGGTGGTATGTTAAAATGATTTGAGGTGGTACACAGATGAATCTTTTTCTTTTAATGGTTAAATACACATGTCAGTGTTAATCAGAAAAATACCCAAGTACTTCAAAACTATAATTTAATTGATATTACGTACTATAAGGCTAAAGTAGGTATTTTAAGGTGACGATAAAAGGATAAGTGTCACATCAGTAATAATACAGTGGCCGTTTGGATTTGGCAAGAATTATAAAGCAGGTCTGATTACTAGAGTTTGATAAACTTTGGGCAGGTTTAAAATAAGATTTCTCCTAGTAGATAACATAAAGCTGCATATGCTGACTGAGGCATAGACTTCTGTTTCAGGTAAGGAGAGTGAGTCAGGAAGGAGTTAAGCGTTCTCAAAGGCATTCAGCAATTTAGTAATGGAGCTTCAGGCACAGCCAAGGTCTCCCAGTGTCCAGCGTTGTTCCCTCTAGCCTGTGTGTTCTTTTGATGTTAATGGAGTTGCCAATTGAAGTTTTCTTGGAGAACTTAGGAAGCCTGCCAAGTTTTATAGCTGTCTGTAGCTTTTATATATTTGTATCTTGAGCCCTGAAGGTAGACAGAGCTAGGTCTTCCAAAAATAGTTCAATAAATGTGTCAACGTTTTGAAAAACTATTTAAAAAAACAAGGAAGTAGAAGTCCTATGGGATTATTGGAAAATGGTGCCAAATGCTTTCACAAGAATTTGAAAAGCAAATGTGGCTTGGTGGTCATATGCTAGACAATGGTGCATATTCAGCCTTCATCTTGGAGCCCATTTTTATATGATAATCTTTTACTTTTCCCCAGTACTCTCTGTTTAATTGCTTTTAGACTCTGGGAGGAAAGCTGCTAAATGAACATCTTTCTTAAAAAGTGTTCTTTAATTCACTTCTCTTAGGGAAAAAAAGGCAGACTTCTTTTTTCTTAATAAAATGAATCCAAATTGTGTATGGGAAAGGTTAGAGTGCTAAGTAATGAGTTGGGTCTCTCCACTGACAAAGGAATCAAGAGTTTATCCATGGGCTTGTAACCAGAACTGTTTTTGGATCTTGGCCATTAAAATCAACATCAGTAAAGCCGGAGTCCTAATTTCCTTAATGCTAAGACTGTCTGTTTTAAATTACGCACAGAAGGGAACGTGAACATTTCTCTCCCTTCCGCCCTCTCTGCCCACCCCCAAACAGAAAATCAGAGGTGCGGGGATCGCCTGCACCGGAGCTGCTCTGCGGGGCGGCTGCTGCCGCGGCTGCACGTGTAGCGCAGACGCGGCTCCCACTTTTCTCCTGGTTGAGGCCATTCACTTTCATCCTCAGTGCGGCTGACTTAAATGGAAAGACTTGCGGGCGGAATCTAGAGCCTTCTGTAGATCTGTGATCTGTCTTACTCTGCGCAGCACTCATGGAACAATGAAGGATATAATATGGCTCTTTTTTTTTTTTCCCTCCACTGCCCAGTGTGGCTCTTTAAGACTTTCTCTTTTTGTTGCTGTTAGGCTTTTTTAAAGTCATGTTTATACTGTATCTGATTATTATGTTTTGAAGTGGTTTTTTTTTTTTTTTTNCATTCTTTTGCTTAGCATAGTTTTGTGGCAATATGTTGGAATAAGACCAGGTGAAACATTTTTCTTTTTTAGCTGACTAAAATTTAATGGGACTATGCGGTTATAAAATCATAGCAACTTGCCGTATGTGTAGTTTTGTCTGGCAGTACGGCGGGGAAAGTATATGCCTTAAACAATGATCATATATTTGTTGAGAAATCACGTGTAAAACATCGGCATAATAGCCAAAGCTGACACTCACTTAATAGTTGAAGTGCTTTTCCTAATTAATAAGCATACCTTTTATGTTGGAGATAGTTTGCTTTACATTTTAATTTTTTAAATTAGAGCATAGTTTAATATATATTTTGTAAAGGTATCACATACTGAATTATGAAATGCTGACAATGATAGATAATAGATAACATTTCTTGAATACTTAGTATGTGTCAGACACTATCCTATAGGTACTTTGACACATATTATTCATTTAATCCTCATAGAAGTCCTGTGTGGTTGGTACTGTTATTCTAGGTTTGCCTCTTAAGAAAACTGAGGCACCATAAGATTAACTAATTTGCTCAAGCTCACTCAACTAATTAACGGCAGACTGGGGATTTGACCCAGGCCGTCTGAGTGTAAAGTCACGACTGTCCTACATTATTCCTGAGAAGATGTAAATTCCTCTTCATACTCTATTTGTGCTGCCATTCCCCTCCCCGGGGGAGCCATTTTGAACCAGAGCCAAAGCGCCACCATTGTACGAGATCATAATTTGATTACTGGGTGGGTATTTTTCAGTGAGAAACTGGAAAGCTGTTGATGAGGCTCTGCTCCTGTTCCTTCACTGGCTTTAGTCATAGAGGGGAAGGGAGGGAAAGTGGAAGCGTGTGGAAAGTGGAGTGGGAACCACCCAAGTGTCTTCCCCCACCCCCACCCCCAGTAGAAGGTTGAGCCCATGTGGAATGCTGACAGCTCACAAAGGAGCTGTTGAAACCAGTACCTCAGAGTAGCACTGAACCTTCAGTTGAGTCCCTGAAGTTGAAGTGCAGGTATATTGTTGGAACCTTGGTCTTCGTTGGTCTGTCCTGAAAAGTGTAGACTTTGTGGGGCTTTGTCCTGGGGCTACAGTGACTGGAATTTTAACAGACCAGGTATCTGATATTCTTCCCCCTCTCCCTCCACTTTTTTTTTTTCCTCTTCTGAAAGTAGCAGAGGATAGAAAGAAAATAGTTGACCAATTACTAAGTGTGACATTGGGCAAGTGACATTGTTCTCCTGTCTGTTTTTCTCTTTAAGTGGTTCAGTTGTCATAGGTCCAAATCCGTTTAAGAGATTATCTGTGGCTCATTCGTTTGTCTCCGTTGAGAAAGTAATTTAAGATGCCTTTCCATATAGGAAAAACATAGACATAGAATTTTGGCAAAACATTTGATAATGTTTTCATGCTGTCTGAATGGCAGCCTTAGGGAAAAACTGTGTATTAGAGGGAATCTCTGGTGGTGCTTATTACTGAAATTTTAATCTTTGTCATCTTCTATCCAAAATATTTTTGCCTGTAATCTTCCTGGTGATAGACAAGGACTGCTAATCAGATTTACAGATTTCATGGAAGTGTGCAGGGAAACCAAATAAGGCTTATATAGATTGTCTTATAGCTACAGAATGGGTTGAAATAAAGATGATGAAAGTTATTGGAAGTAAAAGTTGTCTATTATAAGGTCTCTGAAAGAGAAACAGGATAGCTAGACCTTCTTTTCAGTACTTGTACTTGAAAAGTAGTAGATAGCTTTTTATTCCTTTTATTGACTTCTAGCCTCACCACCCCAGTGGAATTGTTCATTTCCATGTTGCCATGGAAGCAACAGGGATTGCTCTGTCCTCAAGTCCACTGAATGCATTTTCCTTATATTATTTTTGATATTAGTGACCAACCATATTGTCTTTGAAATTCTCTCCTGACATGTTAGGGCTCTTTTTCTATAGTCCGTCTGTTCTTTGCAAGATTTATATATTCTTTCTGTTCTTTCTTTTCTTCTGATGACCCCTTCATTTCTTTTGTTTCCCAGGGTTCTTGGTCTTTGATTCTTAGCCTTGACTGATTTTGTATCACCCATGACTTCACCTACAATCATAATTTGTTAACTTAAGTCTCTCACCAGGCTGTCTTTCTTTTCAGCTCTGAATTCTTATATGACTTAGAGGAATCTATCAATATCTCAAAGTTTTTTTTTTTTTTTAGGGGATATGTGAAATGTCTTGTGCTTAACCTGGAATAATTTGTTCATTTTTAGATACTACATTTTAAGAGATATGTTGTATGCACTAAGTATGTGTTTGTTCTGTAAGAATGAGTGGAAGCATAGACATACTGAGTCCATATCCATGGAAGGGTTCCTGGAATGTTGAAGTTTGGAGAAAACATAGCACATGAGGAAGTAGATGTTGAAACAGCTGAAAGAGTAAGACTTGCTGGGGTGGGCGGCTTAGTAAGACTGTCTTTTGAGCACTGGCTTTCTAACTTTCTTAGAACAAAATCCACTTTAAAAATAGGTTTTGTACCTTGACCCTTTATTCAGTGTGGAAGTCTAGGTGTGTATATATGTGAAAAATACATGTTTTGTAGATTTAGTTCTTAGCCTTACTTATGTCCTGTATGCTCAGATTTTCTTTTCTAAATGATGATGATAAAATGTCAGTTAACAAACCACTAACTAGATTTCACAACTCACCAGTGGCCTGTGATCTGTTTATCCTTTTTACATGGATAAAAATAAGAGATTCAGAGAAGTTTCCTACCCACTATGAGAACTTTTTAACAGTTGAAGCAGGCAGAGAATGGAATGGATTGCCATAGGAGGGAGTGACTTTCCCGGGGTTTGAAAGACCCCAGGGCTATGGCTGATTCATGTTGAGGTTTGACAGAAAACAGCAAAATTCTGTAAAGCAATTATCCACCAATAATAAATAAATAAATAAAAAGAAAGACCCCAGGGCTGATAGTCACCTCCTAAAAGGTGTGGGAAAGAATCATTGGGTGAGGGATGGGACTTCGTGACCATTAAGGTGTCCCCCAAGTCTAAGATTTTCTGGTTCCCATTTTGATAAAATTTTCTATTTGATAAGCTAACTCTATTCCATGTTTTTTCAACAAAGAGCTTTATTTGGGAAATTTTAAATATATACAGAAGTAAACGGAATAGTATAATGACACCCCTCATCCCAACCCGTGCAATCTTATCAGCTCTTAACAGTTTATCAGCTCATGGCCAGCCTTGTTTGATCTACATTTCTGTTGCGTTCACCCGCAACTGTATTATCTTGAAGCAAATTCCAGGCATCTGATCATTCAAATATAAGACTTCTAGAAAAATCACAATACCATTATTACACTTAAGAAGTTAACAGCAAATCTTTAATATCAAATATTAAACTCCATTCAAGTTTCCATTTGTTCTTTTTTTCCCCTCCATTTATTTTTGTTAGTTGGAGGCTAATTACTTTACAGTATTGTAGTGGTTTTTGCCATACTCCATTTGTTCTTATTTTCTTTCATAGTTTTTTTTTTTTTTTTTCCTGAAATGGGGATCCAAGCTAGGAATCACACATTGCAGTTAGCGATTCTTTTTAATCTATAGGTTGTCTCTTTTGCATTTCCTTGTAATCTAGTTGAAGAAATTGGGTTGTTTGTCCTCTCTCATTCCCTGTACTTTTGATTTTGCTGATTCCATCCCTGTAGTTTAGTTTGACCTATTCCTCTGTCCCATAAATTGGTCATCATATCCAGAAGCTTTTATCAGCTAGAGGTTCAAATTTTAAAATGTTTTTTGGCATGAATATTTCATTGGTTCTGTTCTTTCTTAAAGTTGCTCAGGGTATACCAGACTTAATTGTAAGGATGATTGGTTGGTTTCTTAGTTCTTCATTTTTCAAAGTCATCCTAAGCCCAGTTCCCCATAAAAACAGATGGAAGCACTTAGAAGTTTGGGAAGATGATAATCCCGCAAACACCACATCCAAATACAAATTACAAGTTTCTTGTCCAGCTTCATTTCCAAAAAAGAAAGGGAGAAAGCAGATGCCTTGGTAATTACTTCAGACCACAAATCAGGTTTTCAGCTAAAGTGAGACATTTTACAGTAAAGTCAGTCTTGGTTATTCTAGCGCAATATGGAAACCTTGCAGTTTTGCTGGTTAAATTTCCCCACTCAGCAAGCAAGTATTGTCAGTGGTTACTCCCCATCCCTTCTTCGTTGGCCGTCGGACGTAAAAGAATAAAAACGGGAAGATGGCAGGTCAGAAAGGAGTGTACTGTGGTTCAGTTGTAAGTCGTGTCTGACTCGCTGCGACTCCACGGGCTGCCGCACCCCAGGCTCCTGTGACTTTCCTTCACCATCTCCTGGAGCTTGCTCAGACTCATGTCCGTTGAGTCGGTGATGCCATCCAACCATCTCATCCTCTGCCATCCCCTTCTTCTCCTGCTCTCAGTGCTTCCCAGTATCAGGGTCTTTTCCAATGAGTCGGTATGTATGTGAGGAATCAAATAACTGTATTCTTTGGTGATCCTTTTGAAGGATATTGGTAATCTTCTTCCTAAGTTTTTACTATGGAAAATTTCAAATGTACAAATAGAGAAGATAGTATAATGAGCATCCATGTTTCCATTACATAGTTTTCTCCCCCTCTCATGTTTAGCACATTTTCCAAAATTGGGTCAGCGGTCATGCTATAATTCAGCAGAATCTTTGTTTCATTTGCTGTAAGACTTGTGGCATTGACCTTACATCTTTTCTTCTTTGTTTTATTCGTGTTGGTAAGTCTTTTGCTGAATTTTATTTTATTTTGGTTCATGTTTATTATGTTAGGTGGTAGGTGAAGAAGATTCTATTTGATGAAGATGCTGTGATTAGGCTTTATTCTCTGCCTTGTTTTAAATTTTTTTTTTTTATAATGGAAGCTAACATAAATGTAGCGAGATGGAGAGAGTAGAATACTGAATTCCCATGTGCCCATCTCCTAGGTAATTATCAACACATGGTCAGTTTTGTCTCATCTATGTACCCACAAATCCCTGTGTTCCCACCCTGTCACGCTGGATTGTTTTAAAGCTGATCCCAGACATTATATTACTTTACCCATAAATGGTTTTTTGTGCGTCTGGTAAGCATTTTTAAAAAAAGACCAAACCCACAATTCCATTGTCACATCTAAAAAATTTAACACTTCTTTAACATCAAATATTCAGTGACTCTTCCTATCTTCCCATTTATTTCATAAATTGTTTTTCTTGTTGGTTTCTTCATAGATCTGATGCTTAATAAGACTCCAAGTTGATTTTTGGTGGTGGTGGTAGTGGTTTGGAGGATCCATCATAGTTGCTGGTATTTATTTCTTATTGCAACTTCAAGATGTATGGCAATATATGGTTGGCCCTTTTTCTCCTGTCCAAGTACTAACCAGGCCCAGCCCTGTTTAGCTTCTGGGATCAGGGCAGATCAGGGTGGTTAGACCGTAGATTGCTGGCTTGCTTTCTGAGATGAAGGTTGCTCCCTGGGCTTGGGTGTTGTCAGCCAGCTCAATCCATCCATTGTAGTTTCTTAGGGAGCTTTTGCCTAGAGGTTTTTAGCAGCTGCTGATAATCTTTGCCTAGATACATTGTTTCATTGCATTAACTTACAACCATGTATTTTTTCCTCTGAATTACTTAAAATACAGAACTCATAACATTTTGCCCCAATTTCTTCATTATATATTTGTAAAAAATGAAAGTTTTCACATTTAACTGGGACACTACTATCATATATAACACTTGCCAATAGTTCTCTAATATTATCTGATACTGAGTTTATATGAAAATCTCCCCTATCACCCCATGACTTCCTATATAGCTCATTTATCAAAGGAGGATGCTGAAGGAGCATGTATACAGTTATGTCACTTAAGTCTTGTGATTTAAAACAGTCCTCCTCCTTTCTCTTTTCACTGTCTTTTTCTGACAGTGACCTGTTGGAGAGATGCAGGATGGCTGCCTAAGATCTTGTAGACTCTTTTTTTCTGGGCTTGTCCGATTGTTTCCATGTGGTGATATTTACCTTAGTCTTCAGTACCCTTTATTTTCTGCAAAGTAGAATTTAAATCTAAAGGCATGATTAGATTCAGAATAAACATTTTTGGTAAGGGTACTTAATAGCCAAGTTGTATATTTCATATCACATCAAATCAAGACCCACATAATATAATTATCCCACTGTTAGTGAAGCTAAGATTAGGGTGGACTAAATTCCTTATTTAGAGTTATATTTTCCCCTTTGTGGTGGGCAAATAATCCAGGGGTAGTGAGACTTTAGCACCATACAGATATTTTAGTTCTTTATCAGTTATTCATCTAATAATGTTAATATATGTTGATGGTCCCAAATCAGTTATATCACGGGGAGTTACAAAATGGTGATAAAATGGGATTAAAAATATTATGGTAAAATACACATAATGAAAATATACTATCTTAACCATTTTTAAGTGTATAGTTCAGTACTGTTAATACATTGACACTGTTGCACAACTAATCTCCAGAACTATTTTCATCTGGCAAAACTGGAACATTTTACCCTAAGAGTTTTCTCTTGCCTTCAGCTTTGTAAGCTTGCAATTTTCTGTGAAAAATAGCTTTTTCTCATCAAGGTAGGCTATTTGATTACCATGAGGTAGTTTTTAATTTAAAGTGTAGGAGTAAACAATTAAAAACTTAATTTTCCCCTTTATTAAATTTTAGAATGAGCCATTAATATATAATAGTAATCTCAAGATGTTGGCTTGTGGATTTTTATGTGTTCAATGTATTTCCATCAAGTACAGTCATTCTTTTTGATGTTCAAATTGTTCCAAGCTTGGCCAGTGGGAGTCCCTTCAAGTTGGCTCTTAAATCCTTTTGACATGACCCTGTCAGGCTTTGAAAGTAAGGGATATGTTTGTTTAAAGGCACTAAAATTTTCTTTGGAGAATAGGGTCAAACCTGTGTTAGCTGAAGCACAAATAGCATCCATATTATAGAAAAGTGCCATAGAACAGAGTAAAATACCAAGGTCCTAATTCATCAACATAAGGAGAAATAAGGTGAAGTTAGAAGACCTCTTAAAGCCCCTTCTCATTTTAATTGTGTGATCTTTTACCATATATAAGGTTGTTTTACCATTTTGTTATTATTGAAACAAAATATTTCAAGAGTTTGAATGTTGTTAGGTTTTGCCTTAAATAACATCTCTATTACTTTCTTCCTATTCTGATAGTCAGCTTCCTGGGCCATGGATTAAAGGACTGTAAAATGGAAATGTGAGGGTTTCACACACATGTTTCACAGTTATAAAGTCCATCCTCAGAGGAAGCATGAAGGGGTTTGCATCCTAACCTTTGCCTTTTATCCCAATAAAATGTGGCTAAACATTGCACGTAGAGAAGGTCAGCCTTAAAATGTTCGATCGATAAGCTGCTGTCTTGTTTCCTGCAGACAGCTTTATTTCCTCTCATTTGAGTAAACAAGAAGAGGCTTTATCAAGAGTTTAAATGTATAGCTGAATTTGTGAGGACCAACATCATAATACTTGTATCGTGTTTTCAAACCTCTGGAAGATACCATCTGACATTTTAAAAAAAAACTTTTGGTTTTGAAAATTGACTTTTCCCAATGTAATGTGGATAATAGTCATCCCATAAGCAGTAATTCTTTTCCATTCAGTTTTCTTTTCCAGAATAAGTGTGGCTCGGTTTTATCCTTACGCCCCCAGTAGTCACTATGACGACTTTTGGTTAGGAATTGGACATGAATTGCCAGTTTTTTTTGAATACTTTGAAAACATACTGAATGTTGGGCAAAAGTACAAATAATACAGCTGCATACCATACTAATAAAAACAGAATGTTTTGCCTTGAAAAACAGTTTCTTCTCCTAGAAAGAAGTATTATGGAATTCTGTATTTATTCATCAGTGAGTTTAGTTTTTATGTAAATAAAAGACTATACTGTGTTTTAGTTAGAAGTATTTCTTTTCAGTGTTAGGCGTGGCTAGTTTGTACAATAACCCTCTAAGATCATTTTTATATGTATGCGAAGATCATTAACTTTTTCAAAGAAAGCCAACCCTTTAAAAATGTGTTCAGTTGCTTTAATTGCAGAAACTATGAATATTGTTATATCTAGTAAATTAAGTTCATTCTGTGAATTTTCCAGATGGTGACAGCAACTGGAAGAATTTGATACATTTCTTCTCATTCATAGTATTAATGAATTGTGAATTAGGGCAGTTGTAATCTGTACTGGATTGTCTGTATAACACCATAGAGGCTTGCATGAGAAATATCCAGTGTATGTATTTAGATTTAGTTATTTTCTCCACCACTGTAACTGGATTTGAGATATCTTATACGGAGTATGCATGATTAAGTTGCTTAAGTAAAAAACAAATTGAAGTCTGGTAAATTAGAAATAAAAAGAAAATATCAAAATGAAAATATGTGTGGCTGAGTCCCTTTGCAGCTGAAACTGTCACAACACAACATTGTTAATCGGCTCTACTCCAATACAAAATAAAAAGCGTGTGTGTGTGTGTTTAAATCTGCCCCCCACACGCCTCGTTTTCCCGTAGCTATCCCTGGTGGGTCAGTGGGAAGGAATCTGCCAGCCAGTGCAGGAGATGTGGGTTTCATCCCTGGGTGGGGAAGATCCCTTGGGGAAAGAAATGGCAACCCACTCCAGTATTCTTGCCTAGGAGATCTCATGGACAGAGGGTCCTGGGAGGCCGCAGTCCATGAGGTCGCAAAAGAGTCTAACAGGACTCAGTGACTAAATAGCAACAACAGGCATACATTTTTATTGATGTTTCGTTTTGTGTATATTTGTATATGTTTTGTTTTTACACAAGTATTTTTAAAGAATATAATGATAAAGTCATTACTCTTCTCTGAAATGTCTACTGGAAATTATTGAAGATTCTTTTCCGTGAATTTTATCTTTAAATGTTTTGGCATTTTAAAGTATAAAAATGAATAACATTTTTGAAAAAAGGAAGTCATAATACTCAATAGTTGAACCTGATATTTTTTAAGTTTTTAAAAAATGACAAGCATTTATATTCTTGAGAGACAGTTCTTTTAAACCCTGGTCCCTGTGAAAGTGAGTCATTTCTTCCAAGGTACAGCTCATATGTCAGATTTTCTGTGAAGTCTTTTCTAATTTCCACAAGTACAGTTAATAATATCTCTTTTTCCTGTCTCTCCCAAGAAATCTGTTGGCAATTACCAGGTTGGATTTCAGAATCCTAAAAAGGTCAGTTCTTCTTATTATATAAATTTTTCCTGGGCAACAACCCTATATTACTTGTGTATTCCCAGTGTCCGACATAGAGGAAAGCATTATATAGATGTTTGTGGATTGAATGAAGTGAAATTAAATTTTTTTTTTTAAAATTAAAGTTTTAATAGAGTTTATAGTATTAAATATTTTGCTTGTTTTGGAAGAAGTGAATGTTTTGACTGAGTTTGATAATCTTTCTAAGGTAGAGAAAACTCCGAAGTGCCAATAGTAATGTGAATTGACTTATAGAGAATTTGAAACAGATTCTTATATGGAGAATATGATGGTCAGCTGGTAACAACTGCTTTTCTATCCAGCACTGACTTACCCACCCTTTCCTCTTTCCTGTCCCCCAGTGGAAAGGATAGCCTCCTTCTCTTCTGTGGATAAGGAAGCTCCAAGTTGCACCTTACAATCCTGTCCTCATCATTTTTGGCTGTCTCAGAGATACCCTTCTATGAATTAACTGCTAAACTGTTTTGTCTGTTTTTCCTTTTAGACGGTGGTTCTCAACCTTGGCTATACATTAATGTCACCTAGGGACCTGTAGGGGAAAAAAGCCTGGGCTCCAACAGAGATCAGTTGTATTAGAATCTTTGAATCCTAGAATTGTAGAGTTGAAAGAAATAAAAGTCTTGTTTTACTTTAATTAATTAGCCCAATACTTCTAATTAAAGATGAGGCAAGAACTCAGAGATTTGTAAATCCTTTCCTTGGCTGCCATTCTCCATCTCTCCCCCAGAACCATTGAGTTCCATCATTTCGTCTCCTAATTAAGGACATCCCTGCTGGCTCAGATGGTGAAGAATCCACCTGCAGTGTGGGAGACCCAGCTTTGATCCCTGGGTTGAGGAGATGCCTGGAGAAGGCAGTGGCTCCCCACTCCAGTATTCTTGCCTGGAGAATCCCACGGAGGGAGAAGCCTGATGGACTATGGTCCATGGGGTTGCAAAGAGTCGGACACGACTGAGCTACTAACGCTTTTCCTTTCAGTCTCCTGATCGGTTTTTGCCCCCTTAATTTCCTGTTCCCAGTTTATTCTGTCCTTTATTTCCCCATCTTCTTGTACTGTTCATTGATCTTATGCTGCTCTCCTGCTCAGGCACCTCTAGTAGGTCCCTTTCGCTGTAAGCAAAGTTGAAATGAGCAGTTTATCTACCCCACCGCCCTCCTTCTTTAGCCAGAGGATGCTTCCCTGTCTTGTACAGTCACATATCTGACTTTTTTTAAAAATTACATAAACTGTACCTAGACTTATTTCCTTCTTTCATTTTGCCCATTGGTTCCTACACCGAATCGTATAATCTTTGTTTCAGAATATTTTAGCAGTCATTTGATTCAGATCTTTAATTTGTAGATAAAGAGACTGAGACTTTGAAATGTTCAATTACTACCACCACCCAGGCCTCACACCCGGGTAATATCCCAAGTTTCTTTGTTCACTTTTCTCAAGACCTTTTTCTAAGATGCAGCTCATTCTAGCATTTCTCTCAGACTTTCTCTGATCACCTCAGTTAGAGTCTATTCTGGCCTCCAATCGTTAGAGCTGTTTATTGTCTCATGGCAGCATTTGTGCTTCTGTGTTCATAATAATTAATAATGATATTACTGACCTTTGAGTGCTTACTTACTAGTGCTTACCAGTTGAAAAACTGTGAACACTAGTCAACTAGTTAACTCAGTGCTTATTTCATTTTTACTTTACAACCACATGGCAGGGTAGGTATTGTTATCCACATTATAGAAAGAAGAGACTGAGGTATCACTTCAGTTCGGTCGCTTAGTTGTGTCCAACTCTTTGCGACCCCGTGGACTGCAGCATGCCAGGCTTCCCTGTCCATCACCAACGCTTGGAGCTTGCTCAGACTCATGTCCATCAAGTCGGTGATGCCATCCAACCATCTCATGAAAAGGTCAAGGCTTAGGTTTGAGCTCAGATGGGTTTTATCCCAAAGCCAAGCCATCTGTGGTGTTTGTAGTCTTTTTTTACTGGTAAACATCTTTTATTTTTTCTTAAGGGTGGTAAACATCTTTTGTTTTTCACTGGATTATAAATTTCTTGATAACAAGGAACAGGGTCATTAATGTCTTTGTATTTCCTGTATTTCCTATAACATCTATCATAGAAGAATTCAGTAAATACTTATTGATTTCAGTTGGGAGGATCACAACTTGGGGGCTGTGTTCTGAAGGTCACAGTATTGATGTGCCCTGGGGAGGAACAGGGAATCTGTGAAGCTTCTCTCAAGTTGAGGCCCCAGATCTAAGAAGGGGATGTAGGTGTGGCATTGACTGAAGGGTCTATGGAATGATGAGGACAGGAGAGCTCTATATACTTTCCATGTTTAGTGGCTGTAATGAGATATTACACCTTTGTCTACCTGTGAGATTTTGCAAAAGCATCTCAGTGGCATATTGTTTTCTCTGGCTTTGTTCTTTGTATTGGGTGTTGCCTTCTTGAATAGTCTTGAATTTCTCTCTCAACCAGGGTATGAGCAAATATCTTTCCAAATATGATTGTTAAAAAAAAAAAAATCAAGAGAGGTCTCTGGTTCTTCTTTCAAAGAATTTCTTGAACTTTGTCTTCTCAACTGAGAACTTCCGAACTTGTGGGATCCTTAAACTGTGCAGGTACATTTTGATTATGGATGTGGGTTACATGAATGACTGCCCTTTTGTAGTCAAGCAGTTAGATGTGAAAAATCTTTTGTGCCTTCTTCCTATTAGCAAAGTGACACCCTTAAGCTTTCAGGCATATTGGCTTTCCATTTTTCTAGGGTTTGAGGTTATTAGTTGTCTTTGTTCTTTTGAAATACTGCTCCCCTCCCCCATAGAAGAATGTGCCAGCTCAATTCATTAGTGATCAGGAGTATGGGAATGAACTGCTCTCAGTTAAGGGAAGTAGATTTAAGGGTTACAGGGTGTAAAAGTGAAGTATAATTTTCAGGACATTTGAATAACCTTATTTAAAATTCTTCTGCTGCTAAGTTGCTTCAGCCGTGTCTGACTCTGAGCGATCCCATAGACAGAAGCCCACCAGGCTCCCCCATCCCTGGGATTCTCCAGGCAAGACCATCGGAGTGGGTTGCCATTTCCTTTTCCAATGCATGAAAGTGAAGTCGCTCAGTCGTGTCCGACTCTTAGTGACCCCATGGACTGCAGCCCACCAGGCTCCTCTGCCCATGGGATTTTCCAGGCAAGAGTACTGGAGTGGGTTGCCATTGCCTTCTCATTTAAAACGAATGCTTATCCATATCTTGAGAGGGAGGATAAGTAAAATAAGCTAAACCAAGTGTAGAAAGCGCACTACAGATGGGACACCTGACTTGTTCTAGTCTTTATTTTATCATTAACCAGTGGTGTGGTTTTGGAAAAGTAACTCTGAGCTTCATTTTTTTCATTTCTCATTTTTAGTGACTTGGAGTATATACCACCCACCCCCATCATTCAGATGGGGGATTCACAGTTTCTGATAGATATGAAACCATAAGTAATATTCTTATTTATTTGGGAAAATATGACTTGTGTCAATTTGCAACAGTATTAATCCTGACTTGTATTCAGAAGCTGGAAATCTGGCTTTATCGTTCCCCATTTTCATTAGGGGGTGATTTGATGGTCATGAATCCTTTCTGTGCCTATGTCTTCAAGTAATGGTTGCTGAGTATAAATTTAGCCCTTGAGTTTTATTTTTATTGTGGTAAAATACACATTAAAAATACGTAAAAATGTATTATAAATTTACCATTTTAACCACTTTTTAGTGTATAATTCAATAGCATTGAGTGTATTCACGATGTTGTCAATATCACTGCTATGTATTTCTAGAACTCTTCAATCTTCCCAAGCAGTGTCTCCATATCCATTAAACAGTAGCTCCTCCTTCTTCCCTGTTCTTAGCCCCAGGAAACTCTTATTCTACTTTGTCTCTGAATTTGCCCATTCTAGGTACTTCATGTATGTGGAATCGTACAATATCTGTCTTTTTGTGCCTGGCTTATTTCACTTAGCATGTTTTCAGAGTTCATCTATGTTCTGTTATGTGACAGAATTCCATTGTGTTTGAAGGTTGAATTTTTATTCTAGAAATTATGCCACATTTTGTTTATCCATTTATTGATTGATGGACATTTGTGTTGGTTCTCCCTTTTGGCTATTGTGCCTAATACTGCTGTGAATATTTATATGCAGGTATTTGTTTGAGTCCGTGTTTTCAATTATTTTGGGTGTATACCTCAGAGTGGAATTGCTGAGTCAGGCGGTAATTCTTAAAACTTTTGAGGAACCATCACACTGTTTTTTCCAGTGACTGTACCATTTTACATGCCCTCACTAGCAATTCTCAAAAGGATTCAATTTCTCAGTATCTTTTCTGCGCATATTTTTTCTATTAAAAAAGATTATCACTGCCATGCTCATGGGTCTCAGTGTAGTTTTAACTTGCATTTCCCTAAGGACTGAGTGGTGTTGCGCATCTTTGGAGAAACTTCTGTTCCATACCTTTGCCTATTTTAAATTTTTTGCTCTTGTAGCTGTTGAGTAGCTAGACCTTGACTTTAAAATCTAATGTGATTATGGAAGCCACCATTGAAATGGCAGCCCACCCCAGTATTCTTACCTGGAGAATCCCATGGACACACGAGCCTGGTGGGCTGCAGTCCACGGGGTTGCAGAGAGTCGGGACACGACTGAATGCTTGAGCATGGTGGTGATGATACTGACCTCAGTGTTGGTAATGTCAGGTTGTTACCTCACTGTTGTTGTTCTGCCCTGGCTAGGAGATAAGAAAGCATCCCCATTCACACAGTTTTTCACAAACACAAATTCTTTGTGCTTTGGGATCTTAAGTGATGTTAAGTACACAGAACTTGGGTTTTAAGTTCAGGACCAGAGTCCTCGCCTTGGGCAGGTTAGCCTGGCAGGAGGACCAGTTGAGTTGAGGGTGTGCTGCCTCACTACTGGTCCTTGAGACT